AGCTACAATATTCCTTCCTTCCACTAAATAAATACCTATCCGACAGTACATCTCCAGCTTAACGAAGGACGAATTCCTATATCGCAATCATTATGCAACCTATCAACAAACTGAAAATCAACTATTACTGATGGCAACACAAGGAATTTAATTGATCATATTGCTTGTTCATTGTATTACTCACCACTGCTTACCTATTTACCGCTACTATATATTCTATGCTTTTTTTGCTATTGATAACCAGTAATATTGGCAAGAACAATATTACATCCCGACCAAATCTGTATCACCGACAAACGAACTCAATAAATTCCTTTTCCGACAATACGCACAATTATGAGAAAAAAAAATCAGTAAACCTTTTGGTTTAGACCTATAACCTTACAGAAACGCCAGAAACATTTCGCGAAATATCACTTCCGTCCAGCTGCTACGAAATCTCATTTCCATGCGACTTCAGTACATTTAATTAGTGGTGTAGGCAAATAAAATCAACATTATTGATTGAATTGATATCCACTTTCGAATTTCTTACATAATTTCAAAAGACCAGGAGAATAGCGTCAAAATTACACTGCATTACATATTTCTGTGTAAATTCATTACACGTAGTGATGGAAACATAAAAGGAAATATAAATATCACCGGAAAATTCAACAGCTTTAATTCTTCAAACACAACATAGCCCTTCTTCATTTCACTTCCGACCATCTATAGGGATAAATAGGGATAAATCCAACAGACTTTTCCTTGATCCCTCAAGGCGGATACGAGAAAGACCGAAAATTATCTTGATGAAAGGTATTAGAAATTTTCAATTCACATAATAAGCTACATAAGGAAAAAAATGCCCCACACAGCAGGTCTTCAATGTTCAGTAAAATAAGTCAAGTAGTCCGCAGTACGTATCTTATCAGAATCTTAAATTTAAATAATTCTTATGAAAATGTCGGTATTAAACTGTTTTTGCAATACATCAGCTTATTTCCCGATGCAAATGAAGACATAGAATGGAGAAATTAATTAACGAATTTTGAGATAAAGAAAGTAGCTGTTGGTCGAGCAAAAGCAAAAAGAAAAAATTATTTCCCATTATCTCATTTTCTACGGTAGAATATAACTTTATAAATTAAACAAGGCGTAAATTGCATATAAAGAACGGGACAAAAAAAAGAAAAATGATATTTATTGGCTAGCTACAATCATGGGAAGAAGGGCATCCATAATCAGACCTAGGAGTCACCAACAGCTTAATATTTGAGTGAATTATATTATGGATTTGATTTTTGGAACTACGAGGTTTTTCGAAAAAAAAGTCCACCATCATCCATACCCGAACTGCGGTATGTACGATTACACATATTACTAGACATATTCCAGTGAATGTCTGAGTTCTAATCCTCTAAATATGTTTCAACTCATTATAAACACTTTGTCATTTCGCCACAGGCGCTTTATGAGCGACACAAAGAATACTTAATAATTTTTAAAGTGGAAAGACTGACCTGAGAGCAATAATTAAAAAACCGTATGTTGGGAATAATTCTTTGCAATACTGCTTAGTTATTGCACCTGCGCAAACAGTAAAACTTTCACCGTAGCTAAGTTTCACGGGCTGTAAAAAACACAAAGACACAATTCAGTAGTGCTGTGCTCGGCAGTATTCTCCAACTTCTGCGTTCAGGCTGAAAAAAGTCTTATTATCAATAGCTTCAATTATTATGACAAAAATGGATCATTAGTATGTAAATGAGTTTTACTGAAGTAATAAACTAATGAAAAATCAAGTGTACTATAATGACGGATAAATTACGATGACTTTCTCTACAGTTATTTTCAAATATAAAGTAAATTAAGCAAAAATGATGAAACGCGGCGTAACTGAGTGAAACGAATACAACTTGCTTCAATCATATGTGCTTATGCCACCAATAAAAAAGAAAAAAGAAGGACCGATGTTTAGTAAGCTTAAGAATTCGTCACTGTACCTATTCAAGAAACGGAGCGTTGTGCAAAACACAGAAAAAGAGTGTTCAATACCGTGTGCGTGAGAAAAACATTCAAATCCAACTTTTTCAGTTTGTTTACCGATGCTATATGCACGAAATTCAAAGGGATCAAAGATCATGAAGAGATTCAAAATTGAAAAGAAAAGCAACAGAATGCTAGAATTCAAATGAAAGTTAGAAAACATGCACACAATGTCTACAGTAACGGTTCTGCTGGGATTTAAAATGAAACACGGCTGGATTAATGTTGTTGCAGTGCAAAATCAGTCAGTAAGTACAAAAGCCGTTTATTTCAAAACCGTTACTGTGCTGAAGATCCGATCCCCCCAAATACTGAATTCAAATTAAACTGATTAACAAACTGCTTCTAAGCAAACTATGCAGCCGATATTTAATCAGCAAATCCAATTACTGGAAGTAAAGGGCCGACACTATAAATCCCTCTAGGAAGTTGATGCTTAATCATGTCTGAGGATGAAATATATCGAATAATTTAGACCTTCGAAGTTCGAAGTTCATAAGCTTTAAATACACCGAATAATTCTCCCGAAGTTCAAAAGCTTTAAACTATATAAAGGTACAAGAACATACATTCTTAACTTATTTGATAGACTAACTTCAGCAAATGAGCCTTGACGTGATGTACTCTCATCGCAATTAGGACGTCCAGTAATAAGTGTAACAACAAAAAGGAACTAGTTGAAGACTTATGAAGTTAACAGAAACTAAAAGTACAGCAGACACTTAGGAAATCAATTTCAAATGGGAAAGGGGGAAAACTGCTTTGTTGTGTGAATGGGAAAAAGCGTCTCTGACTGTTCTTAATCTTTTTTTTCTTTTTTAATAACGATAAGTGATGTAATGGTTTTAATCCATTTGATCACTACCTTTGTTTCATAAATCGAAATAATCAATTTTCCAAGCACAAACTACTGCATCTTGAAATTCAACACGAGTCCAGTTGCCTTCGTAAGATGGTTAGTAGATGGCATCGTATGAACTCAGACGACAAGAAATAACATTTACTTAAAAAGCAGTGGATCAAACAGACGACCTTAATTTGTATGTTCATTTCCGTCACATAAAACATAACAGTAAAAATATCGGGAAGAGAGCACCTATCTCATTTCTCGTTAAATGTTTCATTCACTATCACAGTAGTAAGCATAACTAATACTTCTTAGACTTTGCAAATAATTAAAGAGGAAAAAGAAATAAAAAGAGGCTTATAATCGTGAGATTCAGCAAGAAATTCTCCTTTTTTTGAATATACATAGTGCAACGATGTTAAAATTACTTCTTTATACACAAGTTCATGAAGAATTAATTATACAGATAAATTTGCAATCATTACTGCACACTGATAGACATAATTTTCTTAGAGAGATAGCACTTTACATATGAGTATGGAAGTACTAAGCTTAATGCGAATGAAACAAATAGAATACAAGGGTCCGCATCTGTCCTTTAGGCAAGCATATTTCACTCTTTTCCTCAAAATGAAATGGACTATCACAAAGAAATATTCTCGGGCATAAAACATATATCATTACGAAATATTATAAGAAATAATAATCGTGTGGGAATTTTGCCGGTTTCAGAAAGTTTTGCCACCAAATGCATTTTTCAAACATTTTAACTCCAACTGAATGTGGAAAATATATATAATAAAAACTAAAGGATGCCTATTTATTAAAAGAAAAAGCAATCAAGAACAATTTTTTCTAACATCAAACCTACATGTATTATTTATTTCATTTTTTAAGTTACTTATTTTTTGCAAACTCTATGACCAAGATATGGCCACTTTTTAAAAGCATATCTCTGTGTAAGCTTAAACTAATGCATTTTTTCCAGTTAGAATTGAAATGTAATTATAAATTTTGAGCATCATATATATATATATATATATATATATATATATATATATATATATATATATATATATATATATATATATATA